TTAGCGAGCAAGCTAATGGGCTATGCTAATATGCGTGATGGCTACATGAATGGTAACCCCAGACCACACCAGGGACTACGGAGACGAAGCATTCAACAATCACAGAAAGTTGTGGTTTTGCTGGTTAGCCAGTGAGCCGTGCTACCTTAACACAGTCGATGGGGAACATGAGGCAGTGCTCCATTATCCCGGCCACAGCTCCAGCCAACATGTGGGTGCTAGTGGAAGCTCCCTGTGGCAAACCCTCATAGTCCGGTTCAGAGTCCTCTGACTGTGCATCTTGTGCACTGCGGATCAAATCAACAGTCTGTATTTCAGTTTCCCCTCCGATCCGGGGTGTCAGGCTTCCCACGATACTTTCTGAAACTCCCCAGAATCTGCCCCCAAGCCATCGAACTTCTGCCCCGGCAGAGGCTCCTGCAACCCCGGGATCATTCCCTGTGGTCTCCGCTGTCATCCGACGCCTCCTCACAAATCCATCTGTTTCCATGAGAAACGAGGGGATGTGTTAAGTCTTCTGGCTCGCGTGCACGGCTGGTCGTGGACCTTAAACTTTTACATTCCCTTGGGGAGCTTTCACAGTTACTTCCCTGCTACACCATTCCCTCCCCTCCTCTACCCATGACAGCAGCGGGAGCCAGGAAAGGGAGGCCGTGACGGCAAACGCACAGCGAGCCCCACCACAGGCCGCGATGAGGAAACAATCTCTGATTGGTTACGATAGCCAAGTACTCCTCACACCATTGGATGATATCCATGCCCCTCATGATTGGATTTTGATGAGCGTTTCAAATCCGGTCATGTGGCGTTTGACTTGAGGTGTTGCTACATGGTAGCTCATCTGTGCAAGCCATCAAAAGACCCGAAGATCACTGTAGGTCAGCCTCAAAATGTTTTAGTGGCTGTGAGCAAACCGAGACACGCGTGATTACAAGATAAATGGGCCAGGGTCACTATTTCACAGTTTTTGTTGTCACTTTTGTTGCTGTCCTAGTGATTTGTGGTGTTGTCTAAAATACAAACTGCAATCTGTGTTTCTTCTCTTAAAAAATACTGGAAAACCTTTTGATAGGATACAAGAACATTTAGATCGGTATTATTTGCTAAATTGAAGAGACTGTGTATGTAATAACAGTCGACATAAAGAACTAAATAACAAGAATTGTGTTAAAAGTGCTTAAAAAATGTCCATGTGAGGCTCAGCCCACTAACACACACCAATCATTGATAAGGTTCAGAAGTAATTGATCTTCTCATTACAATGCAGTGTTCTGTTGGAAAACTTTGAGTTCTAGTATCAAAGTGACATGCCACTTAGGTCACTTTGACATTTAACACCTGCCCGAATTGTTGGAGACTAGACACATCCCTATGGAAATGATAGTCCTCGGTGGCTGTGGCCATCATGAGAAGCAAGAGCCACAACTCTCCCTGCAAAAACTGCTTGAGGACCACCTCAGAGGGGCTGACCCAGCCTCTAAACACCAGTGTCTGTTGGATGCTTTTGAATAAACCCAAACCACAGAGGCCACATGCTGCAACCTACAGGATTCCATTCAATCCCATAGTTGACCTACACAATAATCACTATAATAATAATAATATTAATCACTAATTTTGAGAGCACTAATATATATGCAAATACCCTACAAATTATTCTGTAACACATTTCCATGTGCAAAAAAAGATTGTAGTGATAATTATGCTTCTTTTGTAGGCTGGATTATATCAAGCATGGGATGTTTACCAACTATGAAACCATTTTTTGCAAATCTATGCTAATTTTTAATCCTTTTAAGCAATTGTTATAATGTCATATGAAACATAAGGCTGTTAATTATTAAGAACGTATTGTTTATTATATGATCATATTATGTAGGGCACATATCACTTGATTATGTATATTTTTTGATATCAAAATGTTATGTGTGAAGTTGTCAACTTTGTCTACAGGACTGTATGACTTCAGTGATGCAACAGAAAATAGACACATTACATTACCACAATTAATTATTTAAAATACATATTTATCCCATTCTACAGACATTGCTGCGAGCATAGGGATAAATGATGTTACAGATTTGTGGTGTGGAGTTATGTGCAGCATGTAGGCTGTAGTGTCCATAACAGTAAGTGATGTGCAAACATCATAATGGTTTTATGCACATGAATAAGAAGCATTTCAATATGTTTTACTCAATTTTATGTCAGATTTTAAAATAGACAATATTTAAGTACAAATAAATTGATATTCAGTAAACTTTCACTTATATATACTTGCTTTCCATTAAATATTAATGTGGAAATGATCATCTTTTTCATTATTCCAAGATAATATCCAAATTGAGGCTGTGTTACTTAACGTTTATTTGTATATCGAAATGAAGACATTTGCCAAAAGTTTACAGTTTACAGGGTTTAACTGCAACATTTAGTAGTTGCAGATTAGTAATCTGTAGTGTCCGTAACACTATTGAATGGTTCACAATTTCTTTATCCCATTTCACAAAATGATAAAGTTGCAAAAACAATTCAAATATTAGCATATAACAGACTTTTTTTTTTTTTTTATAAATGTCAGCTTTTGAGCGTTTGACTGTGGGCAACCTGAGGGAGAACAGCAATTGTTGCATTTTTGCAAGAAAATTATCAATATTTATTTGATTTCATTCATTTAATGTTGTTTGTTTTGTGTTTTCGACATTGTGATTTTCTTATTAGTTTTGTTTCCCTTTAATTCTGGACCATTACGTATGTAATAACAATTGATTGATCGATCGATCGATCAGTTTTTATGTCCAAACTCTAAAATAAGTAAGTTTGATTCTTCTAGCACATTTAAAATTGACTAAAGTGAAAACAGGGCTTTCCTTCTTTGAAAAATTACAAATTGTAAATTATTGACAGGGTAATAAAGAGAATATTTGTTATTGTCATGTGACAAAGTTGATTCTGCTTTTCTTGTTCATTAACAGTGAACTTCATCATAAACATTAAAAGCGTCTTTAATTTGATACATCAAGTAAAAGAACGTCATATACTCACTCTCCACCTTCATGGACTGCTTTGAGACAGTAGTTTATGATTAAATTATTGTAAATGCTGAGAGCTCTAACATCTTCACTAGTGAACCACTCTGCCTGGAGGCACATGAATCACTTTTTTTTTTCCATAAAATGGGCTAATTGTGTTTTGGTGCGGAGCAGTTATAGCATAATTGAATTTTCTCCTTTATTGCCTGGGAGAGCCTCTAAGGGCATCAGTGTTAAATTTCTGCCGACAAAGGGGAATGAAGTGTTAATTTCTGCTTACAAGAAGAAAATCTCTTGCCTTGATCTTCTGATCTAGTTAAGGTTGATTGGATGATTTACCGCAGACGTTCCTTAAAGGAAAACCAAGCAGACAGCATATCTGGATCATTTCTCTTCCATGAAACTAATGCTACTGTAATACACCGGGGGAGAGGCATGTTAGGTCTAGCGGGAAACTCTAGATCACCATAACACATCATTTCATTTCCCCTACCAAGAGAGTGCACAATCTATATAAACCTCAGGAATTATTTTACACTGTCTAAGCAAAACATAGTCAAAAATCAAAATTATATGGACAAGATGAGAAGATAACTTGCTTATATTCTGCTGTGTTCGGTTGTTTTTGTACCATTTAACACCCTCCCTTCCTTAGATCTCCTTCTCCTGCTCCATTTACTCCCTGGATTGTTTCATAGCATGATGTATGGCCTCTTATCCCATTAATGCAAGGTGAATGAACCACTAGGCCAACATGACATCCTCAACAGCAGCACTAGGAAACTATTCTGTGTTAAGAGCTCATCTTAAAGCTCTTAATGTGAGCCCGTACAGTGAGATAACTCAAATACACCCACAAACCAGCCAGGACTGATGACACTTCTGGATTATCATACTTTTCATATTGAATTTTTAAATTAAATGAAATTAATCAATTTAATCCTTTCAGCTTTTTACATACTAAAAAAAATCTGACTTTTTGCAAATTCCCAAGTTCTGCCTGTCAGTATAAGAAAGACTTTATATTTAATATTTTTTATTAAATTGTTTATTTAACCAGGTTGTAGTTGAGATCAAAATCTATTTTTCAAGAGAGACCTGTTTACAAAGAACCATATAGATAATAGATAATACATGATCACAAATTAAGAAAAAAAACCCCATTTGCAATAGTAGTTTGAGATAAATGAACATAACCTTTAAAATATCCCAGTCAAATCAGAGAATGTAGCTTCATAGTTTTTGCTTGTTTGTTTGTTTTTAAGCTTATCACATTTATGCCCAGCAAAAACATTCAAAACAAGTGAACCAGTGAATTAGAGGTAATGTTAATGTGTCCTGTGACTTTGTTTAAATTGAAGCAGGGAGCAGAGTCAAGATCCTTGTAAATAAAATAAAAAACTATATACAATGCTGCTCTTTTCAATTCGCTAGTGAGTCTCCCCACTTTTGAACTGTACGTACAATACATATTACCGATGTGCTGACGCGAACTGTGAACCTGATATTAATGGAACAACCCCGCCACCATGTGTTCACTTCCAGAATAACACCAACACGTTTGGTTTTCTTTTTTAAAATTACTTTGGTCATTTTGTGACTTTAAATCGAATAAATATCCACATTAAAATGTATTTTATGTATCCTAGTATTTCTGCTATGGGCGTAGCCAGTATCAGGGCAGAAGAAGGATGTCTACTAAACTTTAACTGTAACAGCGTAAACTCAAAGTGTATAAAAACTGCCTCATGTGACAGAAATACCACATTAGCTATCTGTGCAAAGTTCATGTGTCATTTCACTCCCTCTCTTATCAATACGTCAGAAGTGAACCATTATACATCATATAACTACTATAGTTTACTTCCATATCTCTGTATCTATTTCCCTAACTGATGAGGTCCATAAAGGGTCGCCTCCAGTATGAAACCCGGATCTACTTCACCACAAAAGAGGGAGGGATTGGAGTGGAAAAGTCCAAACTCCTGCCATGGCTCTAGCAGCGTTGGCTAACCGATGGTGGAGGGCTGTGACCCTTGCGGGTACAGTGACAGGCTCCAGGTCAAGTCACACTGCTTTACAATCAAACTACGACGCATTGGTCATCGGTGGAGGTGAGATTTGTGGACTGTAGGAAAGAAATGCAGACAGCGACGTATACTGTAATAACGGGCGATAGATTTTGCAAAAACGATAAATCTGAGTTTGTAGGATTGTAGTATAAATAAGGTAATTTCGTAGTAAAATAAATTGCATTCCAAGATAACTGAATTTACTCCGTTTACGGCTGTGCATAGTTTAATCTTAATTATTCAACTTTGAACTCATTACTGCAGGGCACACTGTATACACAAAATATTTTAAAAACCTAATTATGGAACAACTTTTTGAAACTTCATGCATCGGAATCGGTTTTAAATTGCGTATTTTACATCTCTTTGTAGGACACAACGGACTGGTGGCAGTGAGTTTACATAGTTACTTCCTAACACCTGCTTTTGCAGTAAGGTTTCAGTACTGTGGTGAAGGTGATGTGTGCTTTGTATGCCTGTAGGCTACATATCTTCAGAAGGGAGGTCTGCAGGCAGCAGTGCTGGAACGCAGACATGTGCTGGGAGGTGCAGCTGTTTCAGAGGAAATCTTCCCTGGTAGGATTGACTTCTAGCTCAATTAAATATAAAAAAAAAAGAAGTATATATTTGTTTCTGTTTCTTAAACGTAAAATACATTTGTTAATTTTGGGGTGCAAGAATTTCCTCCACTGAAAAACTAGTCACAGTGACACTGAACAATCACACACTGATTTTTATGGAAACTATCTAATTGTTTGAAGAAATACAGGTTTTCTCTTATTTGGTGAACTCATCCTTTACTGGTAATTGCTTTATTTAATATTTATTAAATGTGTGTTATGTCACGTACTGTTCTCATTCCTAGCATTTGTTTCGATGTCTCACTATGGGATGTGTATTCCTCAGAAGGAGGAGCATGTATCTTAGTCCACCAATCCTGATCGGCACCAACCTTGAAATAGCTTACGTTATCAGTGTTGGGCAAGTTACTTTGAAAAAGTAATTAATTATAGTTACTAGTTACTTCTTCAAAAAAGTAACTGAGTTAGTAACTGAGTTACAATATTGTAAAAGTAATTAATTACTTGAAAAGTAACTATTGCGTTACTTTAAAAAAAATGTTTAACCCTGTGGGGTCCAGGGTATAATTGGCCATTTTTTACTACTTTTGATTTTACCTCTACATTACACCTTTAAAAACTATTTACTTTGCCTTGTTTGGTATCATTCTTTTCAGCACAACCTCACGTACCTTAATTTACAGTTATGTTTTCATTTTGACATACTGTATTAACACAGTTGATTTAAAATCAGACAGAAAACATAAAATCAGAGTAGAAAAAGTTATATTTTTTACTGTAACAACCACAAACATGTTTATTGAATCATATTTCATATTTCATAACTTCCATAACTTTAAATGCAATTGTCAATTTTAAAATCCTATGCACAAGTTTTGCAAACAACAAAGTTATTTGCAGCCATTTACCTTTTACCTTTTTTTTAAAATAACCATTTCAAACTAATTACATAACAATCAGCTGTTCTGCATTCAATAAGATGCCACAAATTATTTGTGCGACTCCAAAAACATAATTTCTGTCCACCTTAAAGGAGAACATCATAGCCTGATACCTGCAGGTCTGACAGCAGCAGGTGTATCACTCCTGTTTTTTACCTGGAGACAGCAGTC